CTACTAATTCATTGCTCGACCTCTCAAATACTCTCCAGGTCAACCAATGAAGGGACTAGATAGACTGGGACCGAGACTCGAACGCCAGCTAATGCCCAAAAAACTTGTAAATTTCTCCAAATATATAACCAAAGCAACAATACCGAGGTAATAAACTTTACGGTTATCAGCACATCTTTCTAAGATTCAGGTTATGTTTGACCTTGTTCGAATTAACACCTACTGACCCTCGGCCATAATTAAATTCAGGTTATGTTCGACCTTGTTCGAATTAACACCTACTGGCCCTCGGCCATAATTAAATTCAGGTTATGTTCGACCTTGTTCGAACTAACACCTACTGGCCCTCGACATTAAGTAAATGCAAGTTATGTTCGACCCTATTCAAACTAACACCTACCAGCTCCAGGCCACAACTAAATTCACATAATAGCCGACCTAGTTCGAACTAGCATATACCGGCCCTCGGCCGCAGTTTTGACAGAAAATCACGTTCGACCTCGCTCGAACTAATGCCTATCAACCTTTCGCCGCAACTCGCCATTAAGTGATCATGGCCAATAAACTACCAAGACAACTAAGCGACAAAATTAAAAAACATACAAATACAAAAACAAACCACAGGAAGAGCAGCAGATGCAAAAAACGAAGTTGGCATTTCATACTTGAAATGTTTTTTTACAAAGGCTCATAAAGACGCCACCAACTACACAAAAGATTAACAAAAAGAGAAGAATAAAAACTACTGATCACCACCATCAGGGCCTTTCGTACCTTCACCGCCCTGACTACCAACGTCCTTGTCACCTTGGTCACCCCCGCTTACACCGCCCAAGCCGTCGGGATAAGCGGTATTATACCAAGCATCCTCTTCAAGACGGTGCACGACTTTATCATTTCCCTCTTTATTGTTCTTAGGAGCAAGCGACTCGAGCTTCACGGGCTTTAACACGGACATCATCGAGAGCGGCCTCAGAAATGGATCCCGCCTTGTACAAATCTCGGTATATATCCAATTGAGCTTCGACATGAATCCATTCCTCATACGATGCACAAGGAACATTGAGAAATTCTAAAGTATGGGAAGAAGAGGGCTGTGCAAGAAGTTGAGCCTTCTCGGCCATGCGACCACTTGACCACAAAGAAAGGCATTATCTTTCTCCAGCTCTCCGACCCTCCCCTTTAGTCGCTCCTCCTTAGCTTTCATCGCGGACTGGTCGTTCTCTTGCTCAGCTTGAAGGGTGTTGCTCGCTAGCTCAAGCACCTCCAATCTCCTCTGAGCGTCCACGCGGAAAGATTACGCCTTCTCAAGATCTCTTTGATTCTCAGCAACTTCACCCATGAGGCCCTGCAACTGAAGGCAACATTCTTCCAATTGCCTACGCAGCTCAACCACTTGCGCTTGAAGGTCGCTACACTAGGCCTCCACGCCCTAGCTGATTTTAAGCTCATCCTCCTTACTACTCAACATCCCCTCAAGGACGCTGCAATTCTCGATGTACTTTACCAATTCATCATCTTTTTCCATTAACTCGTCTCGAAGGGCCTGCATGTCGTTCCCCTCATTGAGTCATCGACAAAGTTCCCGGTGCTTGAGTCGGTACTCAAACTATTTGTTTTACAATCCAACAAAAATTGCCCTATGCCTCTCCTCCCTTCGGGAGCTCTCGATCTCCAATATCATCATTTGCGACCAGATAAAGAAAAGAAACGAGTCAGAAACCAAAGCAAGGGTAAAAAGAAGAGAAAGCAGAATGCCAGAAACTCATTCTAAGGGCGAGACCATCAATGCTCCTCGACAGAGTAACATCGTCCAACTCTTCAAGGGTCTTGCCCTCTCTTTTGGAACAAAGGGGGCCGAGGTTGGGGACCAAGTCCTCCGTGTTTTTTAACAAGTCACGATCCATAGGGATCACGATGGTCCTCCCAGACCCCTCCAACCTTACCTCAAGTTGGGTGAAACCTTCCTCCATCATTTCCAGATCGCCGACATCAATATCTGAGCCGGTTTTGTAGCCTTCCTCGGCAATACCTTTTCCCCTTTCAACGGTCTGCAAAGAAGCATCATCAGCCAGTTGCAAAGTCGATGGCTCATCGTGCCGTAAAGTATCTGAGACCCTGGTGGCCGGCCTTTCTGTCTCATCATCACGGGTTGGGGGGGGATGCGTCGACATCGGCCTCCACCAACCTCGATATCTCTGATACCAGTTCGCCCTCATCTCCAATGACAATAGCCGTCGTCTCGCCACGTCGACTGCGTGAGCAACCCCGTCACCAGTATCCACTTGCCTCCTCTTGCGAGGCATCAAATCTTCCTCGCCAGGTGCCAACTCCTCGTCGTCTTTGTCTTTGAGATGGTATAATGAATAGGGAGAAGAAGGAGCAGATCGAGACATACCAACATGAGGAGTCGAGGCACGAGAAGTAGTGTCAATAATCAAAAGAAGGACCGGGGCACGAGCCGACGATGACACCGTCGAGGAAGGAGCGGAGGCTGAGTCCTTGGCGTTCTTTCTCTTTCTGAATGGGGGGGGGGGGATCTCTCGGTCTCGTCAAAGACCTCCTTGCTGAAGTTAAGGAAAATACAGAGAAGAGCAAAAATCAGCCAAAGAGAACCCAAAAAGGAAAATAACCAAGAAGTTGATAATAAAGATAACTTACTAGTCGGGGATGGATGGGGGCCAAACCTATGACGTAGCCCGACCACTCGCGTATCCCCATGACGTGAGGAAGAATCCGTCCTACCTAGTCAGAAGTATCATCGACCAAGGGAGGAGGCAAACGCTTAGCTGCACAAAAAAAGACGGAGGGTTAGAACCACGACCAAGCATGATAGGGAGCGGTTAGCCTTATCATCCATCTTCACCACTAAGCACATGCCTCATCGGTGGCGGAGATTCATCAGCGCCCCCCTGTAAAAGCTGGGAGTGAACAAATGTGTCGAATGTCGGAGTGAGAGTTCGACCCCAGCCATCTCCGCAAACTTGTCGAGCATCCTCAAGAGTTTGTAAACTTACGACGCAAGCTTAGCCGGAAAAACACCGTAATAGTGACAAAATTCCTCCGCCAGCAGAAGATGAGGAAAAGTGTAACCGACGTGGAATGGGTAGGCGTAGAAGGCGCAATACCCAGGGCGCTGATCCTGCACCGCATCCCACCCAGCAGGGATCAGCTCGATATGGTTGGGGAGACCATATTTCGCCGTAAGCTCCATCAAATCAGCCTCCATCATCGCTGATTTAAAAGTTTAGGGGTCGGCTTCAGGCAGTTTCGAGAAGACAGACCTGATATCGCTAGCCAAAAAAAGTATAAACCATGTATATATTTTGTATATTATATATGTAAAATATATATTTTACCGACTGCTATTTTGGGGAGCGACTAGATATATACATTTCTCTTTTTCAGGTGACCAATATAGGCCCAATATTGGCACTATTGAATATGGGCTGCAGCTCAATAATTTGTCGCTGTCACTACATCTGGCTAAGCGGCTTGTAGACTTGCAGTTTATTAACCGTATTGTGCCATTTACATATTGTATAGGTCAAAATTCGCTCTAGAATATTTGAAATAAGGTAATACTAAGGAAAGGGTTTTCGAGCCGCTGTTAGTCGAGGTGGATCAGGAAGCAGTAAAGCTCATAGCCGAAGAGTCAACATGAGTCGTGATCGAGGTGCCAATCATGGTCGGGGTCGAGCACCGTCAATGAAGCTGTAACGGCTAGTTTTCGAAATAGGATATTAAAGAGAATATTCTGTGGATATTCTCTGGGCATGTACTATTAGGGTTTACTAGGAATATGTCACGTATAAATAGGAAAAAGAGTGAGAATAGAGGCACGTGAGACTCAATTGTAAGAACAATACTTTGAAAAAGATTCATTCTTCACTCAATAGAAGCCTTCACTTTTCACTAAGATTCCCGTCATATCCGAGGAATCCTCCATCGTTTGAGGATCTATCATTCAATCATCGTCAGGTGGAAGCTTTTTTTGTTCCACCTCTTGCTGATTAAATTATTTTTCTTAATTACATGAGCGTCAATATATTGTCATTTATTGAATATCACACACACTGCTGCTGTTCTTGATAGTAAAACGCATTTATTACATAGAATCATAATTGTCCTCATAAATTCCATTCAACCACCTTTTCTAATTTACAAGATCTGGGGATATTATTCTTAACAAAGATTAATATATGATTAACTGAAATTAATTAGTTGAACCATGATTTACGTTTTTGGGTCCACATGCGAGCTGGGCGTATGTACCAGTTGAGCAACATTTACATTTTATTTATCATTCGTAGTTAGCTATATATGTATTGTATAACAAATTCATAAAATGAGAGATTAATTGTTTTGAACTGAAACTAGAGCAACAAGCTCTCATAGCAGTTGGCTAGAGCCCCCGCTTAGTTAGCTGAGGTCTTGAGTGCGTCTATCAACAAGAACAATTTATTTTTCAGTATTGGTCTTAGTTGTATCTGTTGCGCAAATAAATATTTATCCTTTGTATACACCCATGTATACAGTCGATACAAGTTGTATCTGTTGTATACACCCTTGTATTTCGCCTTGGTTACAGTTGATACAGGTTGTAATCGTTGCGCCAACGAATAAAGTTCACTCAGGATGTATTTGTTGCGCGTTTGAATACTAGTGATACAAGTTAATAGGAATTGAACAGTAGCTACGAATGGTAATCAGGCAAACTATAGTTACTAGGCTCTAAACTATAGGGGTTTATAAAAATTCCCCACTAGTGGAACCCATTTTAAAGGAAAAATGACAATGTATACCCGCCCACAAAATAATAATCGAACAATAAATATTGTTTAATATTTTGTATATATTTCATATACAAAAAATAGATAAATTTTATATACTTTTGCGAATAACGGATATAAATAGTTTCGGCCGCATGCTAAAAGTGATCTTTGCCTAATACATATGAATTATGCCTTCCAATTATAGCTATACCTGGTCGTAGAGAATAGAGAAAACTAAATAGAATTAGTTTGGAACTTTCTTTGGATGTATTATCAAAGTACAGTATGCGATCGATCGATCGTTATTCAAATCATAGCCACTTCAAGAAAACAAATCATAAGAATGTGTGTAAAGACAAATTATAGACAATGACCAAAATGCAAGCAAATTAAACAAGAAAAAGATGGCTAACTCCACTCAATCTGATCTACTGTGAGCACTTCCATAAGGACAGAACATAACCTTATAATCTGTAGTCCAACTTGTGCATGTAAATGTACTTGTTGGATCATCTTGAGGATAACTATAGGCATCAGGACATCTTTGTTTGAACCATCTTGATAACTCTGTAGGACCACATGGTCCTTGTGTGCAACAATATTGTTGTCCTCCAGATGTTGTACATGGGTTGTTACATCCTCCACGTACCCTAAGTGAACCAGGGCATTCACCATTTATATTGGCGGTGCATTGAATTCTGTGACATTTTCCAGGGCCAGGCCTAGTCGGGCCAAAAGACATAGGAATGTTGAATCCATCGATTACAGAAATATCCCAAAAATCTAAGTTGCTGAATTGGTTCAACGCGTATTCGGCTAAAGTATTTGGTGGTTTACCCCACCCTTTGCATTCTAAGACTCCACCACAATCACCGGTTTGGCACCAACCTCTACCAGCACCATCAAAGTTGCAATTGGTACGACCCCATATACGTGCCATTTTAGTACCTGGTGAACCACCAACTTTGACCTCGTTCGAGACGTCGGCCACCCCCTACAGGGGTTGCTGCCGCCCATACGGTGTATGGGCAGTTGTTATGGACCTCAAATACGCCGGAAGCAGAAGTGTAAGTCACGAAGGTAAGGAGGAAGAACACTAAACAATTTGTCAAGTGACTCATTTTAGTGGACATTTTAGTAAGAAGATTGGTTGTTGGATGTATTGACATTTGAGTTATGGGGGTTTATATAGGGGTATGGCGGCTTGTTGCACTATAGACAATAATAATAATAATATATATTGGCACTTGATATATTATTATTATATTAATAAAGGAATAATCATGAAAGATGCTTTGATAAAGGTAGAGCTAGGCGGCTAAATGTGAAGGCCTGACAAGTGACACTTATTATTATGTACATACATATATAGAAGCTAAATAATTTATTTGGTGATAATGATCACGAGCAAACTTTGTCACGCTAATATGTCCACTTGAAATAATACGCCACCGATTAGGGGTGTCAATAGTTCGGTTCGGCCGGTACCAATTTTTCGGTTATTTTATTATGTATTATCAAAATTAGACTTTTCGAACCGTCCCAATCATGTCGATTTCTCTTCGGTATCGGTACGGTTCGGTAATTTTCCGCTAATTTTTTTAAATATCATGTAAAAGTCACTAGTAGAAGTAGAATGCAATAACATACGTACTTTTATATGATTAGCAAAACTATCTAGATATTTTTACAGTTTAAAAGGTGATTAATTAAGAAAGTATGAATGATGGCTAGAGTATAGATCCATCAAATAATCTACAAGCGTAAACGAAACTAAGCAAATACAAAGAAAATATAAATCACACGAGTGGAAAGATGTTAACCATGTTGGGATTCAAGAATAAAGTCTATAGAAGATTAAACATTTTAAAAAGATAAATCTAATTCATACAAATATATTCAATATATTGTAGGTTGCTACTCCTAATCGCTACAATACCTTGTGTCTTGCTAGTGAATATGCTGGAAATAATTTAGTTTCAATAGAAGTAGCATAATATGTTTGGGAATTAGGATTTTGAGTTTAATTACTTGTTGGCTTGTAACTATTTCATAATTCCCAGGCCAAGAAAAAAGTTAATGCTTTATTATTTTTAAACTTAGCAAGTAAATATATTTTCACATTGTAAATTTATTCGGTACGGTACAGTATTTTTTCGGTTTATTTTCATAAAATAAAAAACCTACCCTAATTATCGGTACGGTTATAGATTAATATAAAAACATACGGTTTTATTAAAAGAAACCTAAAAATCGGTTCGGTACGGTACGGTTCGGTCGGTTTAGTCGGTTTTTAAATATCCATTGACATACCTACCAAGATAATATCCACTATAAAACAATATGAACAGAGCTAGAAACTCAGATATATGTCGAGTCTAGTAATTTTTGTTCAAATATTATATTTATATTGAGAATTTATTAAGTATGTATAAATATTAAATCTAGAACCCAGTAAACACTTGAAGTCGTTGTTGTAAGATTCAGAACTCATATAATTAGAATACTTGTTCCGTCTCTGTAAAACAAGATATACAGCCATCAAATACATTTTGTTCAGTCGGGTCATATTCCACTATTTTTCACTAGTTTTACTCTCACGCATTTTACAAGCTATTGAATGATGAAAATATACTAAGAGAAATAGTTATCCAATACATCCTTCGAACTGAAATCATAATTATTTACCTGCAATTATTACTATAGGTATCCCTAGCTACTTAATTTGATTTAAAATTAGTTATAATTAGCACTAGTTTATGGAATTTGAAGATGATTGTGCGCACAAGTTAGCTTTGCGCGGAATTTGTTGTGCATAGCATTAGTCTTCTTTCACTCTCACACACGCGCGCGCACATATATATACACTATAACCATGTTTAAATGATACTATATATTATCAATTTAATGAATAACTATTTGCCTAATTATTATCCACTATGCATTACCAAGTCTTTATAAATGAAAGATTTATAATCAAGAGATTCAATCGGGAGTTTCACTGTAAGAATTCGTTGACACCAACATTGCCAGGTTGAATTTTTTTTTTTTCTATTCCCTTATCTCATATACAAAAACTTTAGATTGATGAAATACTATATTTTTGTAATTTATTTAAACACAATTGTTTTCCCCCCTTGCAATTCTTTTGTCTTGTATATCTGTTGGGTTTTTAAGGTATTTAATTAATATATTAAATACTTAAAAGAAGGTGAATGGGAAATGGAGGGAAATGAAATTTTTGAGTGAAATTTTAAGTTTCCCCTCCCTTGGCAAATGGGCATTGTCCCATATTGGAAGAGGAAGAGGTTTTTTATGGGTATATAAGCAATTGCTCTTCTTCTAGCTCTTAAAGAGTTGAGAAGAAGGCAAACCTCGCGCCGTCGTCGTCGGTCGCTCGGCTTCGGCTTCGGCTTCGGATTCGAATTTTGGACCAAATTTATTGGTTAATAGTAAAATATTATTAAATATTTGTTTTAATAACAAAATATTAATATTAAATATTAATATTAAATCCAATCCGTTTTTCTGTTTTGGTAACAGAAAAGTAACTACCCTCTTCAATTTTCCCTCTTTATTTTCCCTCTTTATTATTGAGTAAATGGCCATTTATGTAATGACATTTATGTTGTGGGCGTTTTGCATAAACAGCCATTCTGAAGAGACCCAACTTTGGCTATATATACTACACTATTCTGCTCAGAATTTTAACTACAATTTTCTGAGTTTTCTCTCCTTCTTCTGCATACTTTTAGCATCAAAACAAAGCAAAAAGTAAGTGTGATTTGCTACCGAACTTTGTGTTCGCTGAAACACTGGGGTTTGAAGTACCACTACACCAGTGTGTAATTCGTTCTATCCTGGGAGGAAATAATCCATAACCTTGGGTACTAGGAGGGGATTAAATTCCTTAAGGAAACACTGTGAATTCAGTGGGCTCGAATTGGTTTATGTCATTTCTGTTTATATTCATTACTGTTTATATTCATTTAT